GTAACCTTTATCTCAGTGACAAATGCAATTCCTACCAGGCCAAAGCCTTACTCCAGAAGTAGGGACTGCCTGAACAATGTGGCTTATGAGGTATCAAAAGAACCTCAGAGGTCCTAAATATCTTCCCCACCAGCCCGCCAAGGTGCTTAAAGACCACTCTATGAATGTATCTGCTTTAAGAATCTTTCTGTTAGACTATAATACCCCTTTCCTCCCTCCTTCCTAAGAGTCAGTACATTAGGCAATTCTCAGGGCTTAGCACAGCTTCAGTTAATTTATCAACTATTTTTATCTGATGCATTTCTCCTAGAGTATCTGGGTAAGCTGTGATAGAGTTAAATAAAGGTAAAGTTCCAGGAGAGGGGGATCGGCCTGAATGTCTGTGGTGAGAGATGGAGGGTAGGCAGTATAGCAGTGGCTAAGTGTGAGATCTTATGATCTGGGTCCAAATCCAGTTTCACTGGCGACGAGGTAGTGACCTTTGGCTAGTCACTTACCTTCCCTCCATTTCTTCATTTAGACAGAAAATGGTGTTACGAAGAGGACCTGCTTCAATGGGGCATTTGAGAGTTAAATGAGTCAATATATAGGAAGCATTTAAAGAGGTGCCCAACCCATGTGAACCATATATAATGTGTTAATTTCTGTCATTATTAGAGGGATGACATGAGATTTGGCTCTGAAAGGAGCTGCTCTGGCTTTACTACTTGCTGCCTCCTTTCCCAGTTTACTGAGAAACAGGCAAGGTCCCGAGAGGATGAGCAGTACCCCTAAGTCCACAGGCTACTGATGGCAGAGCCAGGGCTTCCTATCCAGGGCTCCCCACACGCGGAACTTCTCGAGGAGGAAGAGGGGAAGGGGTCGTGGGAGGCCAGGAGAAACCCAGAGCCAGCTCTAGCATGTGTCCCTTCTGGGGATAATGGAATCCAGGCCCTTCGGGGCTTTTCCCCAGAGTCGGCTCCACCTCCCGCTCTCGGATGCGCTCGTTGTCCACGCAAATGCCATCTCCGACCCCCACCCCCGCGCCGGGCACACCCTCTAAGTCTGGCACAGCGCGGCAACTCGCTACTCCGCTGGGAGGACGAGTCAACAGGAGGGTGGACGGGAAAAGTGACACAATTGGGCCGCGGCGCGCTCCCCGCCAGCCTCCCACACAGCGCATGGCGGACTTCGGCCCTCAGAGGGGTGAGGACCGGGGGCCCAACCACCCGGGTCTCCCCCGCCGCCCGCAAGGCTCCGGGCCCCTCGCGGCGGGAGGCCTGGGCGCGGGCGGCCGCCGCAAGGCTGTCCGGCCCGGTCGCAGGGCCACCGCCGCCGCCACCGTCCCCCAAAGCTAGATGACGGAGTCTTGAAAGACTTTCACCAAATATGGGCCGGGGCTGGAAACGTCCTGCGCCGCGCGCCGCCGGAAACCTCGAGTCCTGGCAACCGTGGTGACTGCGGCGCGCGGGCGGGGTGGCCGGCAGGGGGCGGCGGCGGCGGCCAGGCAGGCGCGTCCGGTTGCCTCGGGTCCCGCGCCCTCCCGCCGTGAGGACCCTGCCCGCTGCCTCCGCAGGGGCGCCGGAGCCCGCCCTCTCCGCGCGTAGGCCACCCAGTTCTTGCCGCCGCCACCAGGCTAGGACCCTGGCTTCCTCTGGGAATGGGGGCGGAGAAAAGGTGCAGAAGAGAAATGGGATGGTGCGGGGGGGAGGGGGGGTCGGCGACACCTTAAAGCTGGTCTTTTGCAGACACCGTTAAGTTGTTCCGTTCATTAAGGTGGCTATAAAGAGTGGAGTTGTGACATTGGGTGTGCGGGCGAGTATCTTTGAGACACACACCCCTACTACACCCACTCCGGTCGTCCACGGCAGTGGTTCTCAGGTTGTGATCTCCGGACCAGCAGCATCACCACCACCTGGGGACTTGTTAGAAAAGTAATCAGAAACTCTGGGGTGGGACCCAGGAATCATTAACTAGTTCTCCAGGTGATTCTGATGCACGCTGGTCTGAGAGCCTTCCTAGGGCTAGGAAACCAGAGTCGCCAGATTTACCGTTATTACTCTCGGTTGCCGCCAGACAGTGAGCCCTTCATTAGGTAACCTAAAATTCCCTGGCAGCAGCGGGCGAGACGTCCCCATCGCTCAGCCCGAAGCCAGGAGCTGCAGAAGACAAGTAGCCCCTTCTCCGTGGATTGCAACCCAAGGCAGCCCATGGAAACAAGGCAGCCCGTTATTTCCTGCCTGGGCACCCGTATGGGGAGGGTGAGGGAGAAACTAGCAAAAGAGCCATACAGAATTAGTACCCGAAGCAACACTTACCCATAAACATTTGCACATTTGGCCTCCTGTCCGTCAACTAGGACTGATCTGCAGCTCCCATCAGAGGCGGTGAGAAGACGACCAGAGGCTGGGGTTTCTGGACGGTCCTTGGGCAGGACTCGAGGAGCTGCTGTTTCTCTTGCCTAATGTCGTCAATTACTAGCAGGCGCACCAGCACATGGTATATGGAGAGGCTGTGCACATAGGTTACTCTAGTATCTCCCGCTCCCACACCTCCTGGCCCTGTTGCTCCAGCTTCCCACCCCCCTCCCACAACACACCCCCTGCTTGAAATGGGCAGCTGACGGTAAGGTTCTCTAAATTTCTCCTTTGGGGGAAACTCATCCTCAAGATTACCCGTTGAAGTCCAGAAACAAACCCACACACCCTTGTTAGAAAACTTTAATGTGATTTTAAAGGAATCTCTGGAATGGCTGTGTTTGAACGCAGTGCGGCAGACTGGATCTCTGCCGTCCCCCATCCCCAACCTCCAATTAAGGTATATACCGCCAGTTGGATGATCCACTGTGCTTTTATTCTAAATCATGATAGACAGATTGCATGAAAAACAAGGAATTCCAAAGAATTTCCTGCTCTGGGAAGAGAAGTTAAATCTATATTTAACAACATTTGAAGTTGTCAAGAATGCTTTGTGGTTGGATAACAGAGGCAGAAAAATGTTAAAAACGCAGGCTACTGCTATACCCAAATATGGGAATATTGTTACGTCTGCTGTCTGATTCACCATCTGGAAATACTTACAACCATGAAGTCAAATAGAAAAGACGCCACAACAGAAGCTAGGAACCCTCCTCTCCATTCTCTCTCTACCATCTCCCTCTGTTCACCCCTTACTGTGGCTACACCCCTCCTCCCCCGCCCCACCCCAGACACTTCATTAAGAAGGAAACAATAATGAAATGCTAAGGCAGGAAAAGCAATGTTGTGTAAATAATAATTGATGTATTAACCTGTGTTCGTGTTGGGCCCAGACTTTCCTCACTTGATTTGCATGACACCTGACAATCCATTGTCTTGAAAAGTCTCTCACCCCTAACCCTCCAATAGAGCTTCCCACTCCCTCTAGCAAATGCTGCTTTCAGTTATGAAAGGGCACTTTTGAATGAATAAAACTGAACTCTTTCCTGCAAGAGTTCTCTTCATTGGAGTGTGTTTTCATCATGATAGCTTCTCATTGTGCTTATCAGAAAAGTCAGCATTGGCACTAAAGGCCCTTTTAAGCAAGACTGCTAAATGAAGAAGTGTGAACAGCCCTAAACATTAAAAAGGATAAGTAGTCATCCTAGAGCATATGACTCTCACATGATAATTTTTATTAAAATTACAATTTATTAAAATTAGAGATAGTTTTTGAAACTTGTAGGGAAAGTTTATCAATCACACTAATGGGATTGGTAACATTCAAGTACATTGTCCCATGGTGGGGGCTTCTCCTGAGTATGTTGCAGGTAAAACAGGATCTTATAATCTGCTGACATTTTTACTACAGAGTATTACCTACTACATCTCATTGCAATTCATTTAAAATGGGAGGCTTCCAGTGGTCCCTAGGAAAGGACTTAAAAACCCCACAAAACTTCCAGCTTGAAGGCGTCTGCTTTCCCCAGAGATTCATAGGGCATAATGTACTGGAATCTGGTTTGGCCTTGCGGTCTTTGCAGGTGATTTCAGCCCAAAGCACTCCAAATGCAGGGTGGTCCCCTGCATTTCTGGCTGGCTGCTTGGTTAGCACAGCCTCCGGTCCGCGGAGGGAGGTTGGAAGGGCTTACCCTGTCTCCTGCATCCGTAAGGAAGTATAAGTCAGCCTTCCGGAGAACTCCCCGAGTTCGTTTCCTCTCGGACTTCCAACCCAGGCAGTGGTCTGGAACTACAGTGGGAACCTCCAAAAACAAACAAGTACAACATACCCAAAAGAGGAGGGCTGGAGGGGTGGGGGAGACCTCTGCCTGGGAATTTGCCAGACGGTGGAGAAGTCCCCCGCTCCCCCCACTCCCCGCTTTTCATTCATAAATGCCACTGTGGGTATTAATTTGCAATTCACTGGACTTTGCTAATAAACATCATGCCAAAGCTTTGGGACTTGATCCGAATCCGCCTCTGTGAAGTCCACAAATATTCCTGGGTCGGACACATACTCCTCTTTCTCATTTACTCTTTCAACAGATAACTTGTCTCTCACCTTCTCTGTAAACAAGCAAACAGCTCGCTGCGTTCCCGGGTGAGGGCTTCCGTGACTGCCGGGTCAACTCGCATCACCAAACAAAACGACTTTTGTTCCTTCCTCTCAGGTTCTCCCACCCACCCAGTCCAGGCAAAGTTCTGAACTGGGCCCTCTCGCGCCTCATGACCCTCCAACCACCATCACCACTATCACGCCCCAAAGAACCCTCCCCAATAGAAGTCGTAATTTAAGATGGAAAAAACGAACTGTTTTCTTGAAGGATCTGGGACGGACACACACATACACACACACACACACACACACACACACACACACACACACACACACACACACACACACACACACACACACAAAGGTGCAATGGAGCCAGGGGAGGCGCTTGGCAGCAGCCCGCGCCAACCAGCATTCCTGAGATGTTTGAGAATTCTGGAACGCGGAGACAGAGCCGACGTCACTGCAACACGCGGCGCCTCCACCGGCCGTATAAAAGGCGGGCTTCGGGGCGCCTGGGCAGACCGCGAGCGAGAGCGCCCCCGAGCAGCGCCCGCGCCCTCCGCGCCTTCTCCGCCCGGACCTCGATTGAAAGACTCCCGCCCGCCGCCCGGCCCTCGCCTCCCTGCCCACCGGGCCCACCGCGCCGCCACCCAGAGCCCACTACGCCCGGCCTGTCCGCTGCGCACCAGCTTGTTGGCGTCTTCGCCGCCGCGCTCGCCCCAGGCTACTACTGCGCGCCACAATGAGCTACCGCATCGCCAAGGCGCTAGCCGTCGCCGTCACCCTTCTCCACTTGACCAGGCTGGTGAGTTAGACTCTCCTTTTGCCACCGCTTCCCCTTCCACTTCCCAGTCCCTTCCCTTGGTCCCAGATTGCCCATGGCAGGGAAAGCTAAACTAAAAAGTTCGTGGCCGTTTGCGGGTAGCCGTTTCTTTAAGCACCCCCCTCCCGCGAAGACGTGTCGGGGACCTCTTGGTGGGCGCAGCCTTCCAGGGTGGCCGGGCTGGACGAGATCAGAGGCTCCCTGTCGACAGGGTCGGAGACCCTCGTCCCTTCCTGCGGCAGCCGCAGCGCCCCTCCTGTACACCGCGCTGAGTCTCAACGCGTTTCTTCTCCCCATTCCAGGCACTCTCCACCTGCCCCGCCGCCTGCCACTGCCCCCTGGAGGCGCCCAAGTGCGCGCCGGGAGTCGGGCTGGTCCGGGACGGCTGCGGCTGCTGTAAGGTCTGCGCCAAGCAGCTCAACGAGGACTGCAGCAAAACGCAGCCCTGCGACCACACCAAGGGACTGGAATGCAACTTCGGCGCCAGCTCCACCGCTCTGAAGGGGATCTGCAGAGGTAAGATGCTTGTGGTTTGGCCCCTTTAAAAAAATATACTAGTCCCCATAGTCCAGAAGTTTAGTAATTTTGAGACCATGTATGGTGATGCTTTGTTGTTGGTAGCTTGGCAGAAAGGCACATGATTTCAGCAGTCTGGAATGCAATTCAGTGTGTCTGGGCCCAACGAAAGTGCATACGGAAAAGTGATTCCTGACTAACTTATTGTTCTGGTCTGGAGTCTCCGGGGAATTGTAGGGAACTTTACCATAAATTGAATTTAACAGCAGAAAATATGTATGAGGTTCAGGCGGTGGTTTGAAATCTTTACTTTATCCCCTTCTACCTTTCTCTTTTGGTGATGTTTGCAGCTCAGTCAGAGGGCAGACCCTGTGAATATAACTCCAGAATCTACCAGAACGGGGAAAGTTTCCAGCCCAACTGTAAACATCAGTGCACATGTATTGACGGCGCCGTGGGCTGCATTCCTCTGTGTCCTCAAGAACTGTCTCTCCCCAACTTGGGCTGTCCCAACCCCCGGCTGGTCAAAGTTACTGGGCAGTGCTGCGAGGAGTGGGTCTGTGATGAGGATGGTGTCAAGGACCCCATGGATGACCAGGACGGCCTCCTTGGCAAGGAGCTGGGATTCGATGCTTCCGAGGTGGAGTTGACGAGAAACAATGAATTGATTGCAGTTGGAAAAGGCAGCTCACTGAAGCGGCTCCCTGGTAAGTGGAGACTGAGCCCTGAGATACTGTACTGAGATGCATTTCTGGTCTGAAATTTTATAGACATGAGTACTTGAACCTGTTTGTGTCAGTATGCCTCTGAGAAGTCTTCCCTCTTGTTTGTTTCTCTAGTTTTTGGAATGGAGCCTCGCATCCTATACAACCCTTTACATGGCCAGAAATGTATCGTTCAAACAACTTCATGGTCCCAGTGCTCAAAGACCTGTGGAACTGGTATCTCCACACGAGTCACCAATGACAACCCGGAATGCCGCCTGGTGAAAGAAACCCGGATTTGCGAGGTGCGGCCTTGTGGACAGCCAGTGTACAGCAGCCTGAAAGTAAGTTCCTTCAGGGACAAGTAGTCTGTTCCCCGGCAGGTGGGTGGGATATGAATCTGTTTTTGAGGAAAGAGAAATATCACCCCTAACTTTCCTTCTCTCCTGTCTCTTACAGAAGGGCAAGAAATGTAGCAAGACCAAGAAATCTCCCGAACCAGTCAGGTTTACTTACGCTGGATGTTCGAGTGTGAAGAAATACCGGCCCAAGTACTGCGGTTCCTGCGTGGACGGCCGTTGCTGCACGCCCCAGATGACCAGGACTGTGAAGATGCGGTTCCGCTGTGAAGATGGGGAGACATTTTCCAAGAACGTCATGATGATCCAGTCCTGCAAATGCAACTACAACTGCCCACATGCCAATGAAGCAGCGTTTCCCTTCTACAGGCTGTTCAACGACATTCACAAATTTAGGGACTAAATGCTATTTGGGTTTCCAGTGTGCACCTAGACAAACAAGGGAGAAGAGTGTCAGAATCAGAATCATGGAGATAATGGGTGGGGGCGGTGTGGGTGATGGGACTCATTATAGAAGGGATGCCTTGCTTATTCTTGAGGAGCATTAAGGTATTTCAAAACTGCCAAGGGTGCTGGTGCAGATGGACACTAATGCAGCCACAGTTGGAGAATACTTTGCTTCATAGTATTGGAGCACATGTTACTGCTTCATTTTGGAGCTTCCGGTGTTGATGACTTTCTGTTTTCTGTTTGTAAATTATTTGCTAAGCATATTTTCTCTAGGCTTTTTTCCTTTTGGGGTTCTACAGTCGTCAGAGATAAGATTAGTTGGACAGTTTAAAGCTTTTATTCGTCCTTTGACAAAAGTAAATGGGAGGGCATTCCATCCCTTCCTGAAGGGGACACTCCATGAGTGTCTGTGAGAGGCAGCTAACTGCACTCTAAACTGCAAACAGAAATCAGGTGTTTTAAGACTGAATGTTTTTATTTATCAAAATGTAGCTTTTGGGGAGGGAGGGGAAATGTAATACTGGAATAATTTGTAAATAATTTTAATTTTATATTCAGTGAAAGATTTTATTTATGGAATTAACCATTTAATAAAGAAATATTTACCTAATATCTGAGTGTATGCCTTTCAGTATTTTTAGAGATGTTCAAAATGTACTCAAACAGGACATATTGGGATATAGCAGTGAATTAAGCTATTAAAATAAGACAATGATTGCTTTTATATCTTCAGTAAAGTCTTTGCATATAAAGTAATGTTTAAAAAACATGTATTGAACACAAGACACTGTATGAAGCATGAGAAAGATTCTGAAGCTAAACTTGTGATTTAAGAAAACAGCACTTTATTTTCATCAGAATTTGAAGTCTAAGAGTCTCCATCACTCTGTGAGATGGCTATAGCAATTTAATATTTTAATCACCAGGTTAGTGGGCATGGCACTTCAGTAGAGAAACCCTTTAATAAGAGGGGTAGTCCATAACTCAGGCTGCCCACATCCAGATCCATGGGCAAGACTGAATATGGCTAATGTATTCTAAAGGCTTGCTTGTTTATAACTTTATATTTTCCCTAAAAATTAAGAGAACTACTTAGAAATTTACCCTTGGCTGTTATCAGGAAAAATCTGAGTCTATAGGAGTCAGTTTGTTTTCACTAAATGAGCTTGAAGCACGACTTGTGTTAATCCTAATAAGCCGGTGATTAGGTAAACATGCTGTTAAATGCAAAGGAATGCAAGGAATTTCAAGTACTTTTCCAATAGCGTGAGGACCAAGCTACCCCATCCCCCTTTCCTTTTTATAATATACATTATATTGATGGGGGAGGGAGCAGTTAGATAGAGTTGGCTATTCAGAAGGTCAAAGGTCCAGAGCATTCCTAAAAGAAAGGGACCCAAATCGTAGGTCTAGGAGAGGTTAAGAAAGCTGGGTCAACGTTTGTGAAAATGTTGGTAGCCTGTTTCAGAGGCATCTCCATCTTTAGAAAGTGCTGACAATAAACCTTTTATAGGAAGAAGTTTTCCTTTTATCATCAATGTTGGCTCCTGTTCAAATCCATAGTGAAATATTTCAGTCCGCACTTAGTTAAGAGAGTACTTGAATTTTTAGGCAGAAGAGAAAGTGCTTTTAAAAAGAATTGAGGGGGACAGCTCCTGGGATCCTGAAGGGATTTTTCCAAATAGATTAAATAATATGTATACTTTAATGAAGACCCACAGAAAAATACTGCCTAAGCAATGGTTTTAATGCCTTATGGAACTGCATAAGTAAAATGCAATTTTACTAGGAAATGCACTAGTAAAATCTATGGCCAAAAGCCTTCACTCTTCTGATTTTTGACTTGCCTGAAATATTACAGCTTGTTTCTTCTGAATAGTCAGTTTTTCTTGCCTGAAGCATTCAAATGTTAAGGTATTTGAGAATTTAAACACCACCTGGCCCAGTCATAGATGCAGTTAAAGTTAGTGCAATGTAACATGTGAAACATAATAAAGGTGTGAGGCTTTTGTGGTGCAATCTTGCTGAATAGACATCTAAATCCACAGGCAAGATTTACACATTCCCAGCATCAACCCTGAACTGTTGCCCTCCAACACTGGGGCTCAACGAATTGCTTTTTATGCAAAGATCAAGGAGCAATATTTTATAGATCCTTTCAGTGTGCAGGGAGGTAGTATTTGTCCAAATAAGCTCAAAGGTGAAACAGAACCTAGTATGGGAAAACATTGAATCTTTGGGTTAAGAATTTCATCATAGTAAATATAATGAGAGTGATTGAAAGTGTCAATTCCACTGACAATAAGTGTGTTCAATTAATAAAGAAGATGAATAGAAGCAAATTATGTCTATTTAGCTATAGACAACACTGAAGAAATTGAAAGTAGTAGAAAATAAAATTATGATATTTAGAACATGTAAGTTTTACTTACATCCAGAGTGGAGTTCTGCCCACTTTAAATACTGAGAAAACAAAACCAAAAATTATGCATCTGCATATATGAAAAAGAAGGTACATATAGAAATATTCATTATAATATATATGTACCTTCCCATGCACAGTAAAGACCTTGGGTTGTTCTTGCTTTTCAATCCCAAAGATCCTGGTGGTCTTGAGCTGTGTTTTGGTACAGATTTTAGAACTGAGAGCTAGAGTGATCTCAGAATCTTAGGCATTTCATGAATTTTAAGAAATATTCTATGAGACATTTAGCAGCACAGTAAGTAGTCTCACTAGGACAATTTTTTCATTTGAACATACGTGTTGTCTGCTCCACAAAGAAATGCAACTGTGTCAAAATTAGCAAAGCATATTTTAGAGTTATGTTTTCCAACAGAGGGTACAGACTTGGTTTGTTCACAACCTCTTCTTGCAGCCTTCTGGCACTATTTGAAAGTCAGTTGAGCAATAGCAATATTTCAGTGTGACCACAGTACAGAGCAAAGCTATGCTCTGGGCAGAATGGCAGGTGATACAGTGGAAAGAACCCCAGGGAATCAGGAGACACGTCTTTTGGCACCAGCTCTGCCAGGAATTCACTAGGTGACTGGCAGGTTTCTGTTTCACTCCCTCATGTTAAAGTAGGAAAACAGCTTTCAGCATTTTTGTCACCCCCAAACCCCCTTCTCTTTGGTACATTGGCTCTCATACCTTAAAACCTTTGCCTCTTCAAGTAACCAAATGTGTGAACGGAAAACTGCTCAAGCCTTTCTGTTATCAAATCCACTTGTTTCCATGAAGCCTTTGAAAATGTGTTGTTGCTAGACCACCTTTACCTTCTAAAGCTCCCTTGGCTACAGGACGCAGCAATCCCTGGATCTCACAGTCTACAAGTCCATACTTTAACCTCATTGTACAGCCCTATCAAGGCCTCATTAACTCCCTGCCCTAATGATGCTTTAAAACAAAGCATATTCTGAAACATGACAATGATGTATTTGTCCTACGAGTAGATTAGATATATTCGTGACTTACTTCATTGGTAGTGGGCAATATTCTTCCATGTAATCTTATAAACTGCAATTCAATTAACAAATACTCAGATGCATTTGTTACTGCTTTGCTGTTTCCATATATTCTGCTCATATATTTTGAATCTACCCCTTTCTCATTTCAGAGCAAACCTCTAGATGAGGCCACCATCATCTCTTGTCTGAATTATCAGAATGGCGTCCTCATTTATAGTATATTATATTTTCCAAAGGTGGCTGCAACAGTATCTCCCACCCCATGTGCCCTTCTGCAATGTGACCCTGTTGCTCCTCCATTAATAGTTGGGGTCTATTTCTTCACCCTCTTAGATCTGGGTGAGCTCTTTGACTACTTTGACCTGTGAATGTGCCGGAAGCAATGCAATATGGTACCAGTTCCAAGTGTAGCACTGGCCAGGAGTTCCTGCCTCCTTTCCCATTGAGATGAGCTTCCATTTAAGAAGTACAACTACTCTGAGATCAGCAGACTGTGAGAAGCTGAAGCGACATGAATAGGCATTACAGAATGAGTTGCCATGTGGAGGAAGAGAAAGTTCCAGAAGCACTTGGGCTTTACACCTGTGCATGAAGAAACCATCTTGGAAGTGAATCTCCAGCCTCAGCCACCCCAGCTGATGTCTTTTGAACCAGAGATGAGCTGCTAGTTGAGTCCTTTCCATAGTTTCTGACCCACAAAATAGTGGGCAAACCAATATGGTAATTTTAAAGAACTAAGTTTTGGTTTTGTTTGTTACGTTGTAATAGATAACCAAAGTATCACTGATTTCAGCTTAAAGGCTCCAGTGGTGTCCCACTGCTGTCAAAGTGGAGATTCTTGGCACACAGCTCCTGGACCCTGCCTACTTCTTACCATTCACCCACATTCACTATACTTCCACTTGACTTTTCTTCTTTGAAAAAGCCAAGCAAGTTTTCCTGCAGGGCCTTCACACTAGCTATTCCTCTGCCTCAAATGCTCCTTCCCCTGACCTAGGCTTCTTCTTGGCATGTAGGTCTCAGCATAAATGCTACCTTCTTAGCGACCTTTCCTCACCACTCAGTGTAAATTATTAATAGTTCCTTACATCGAGAAGTATTTTAGGGGGCAGAACAGGATGGTGGAATAAAAATCCCCAACAATCACCCCCTATGCAGGAACACTGAATTTAACAATTATCTACCCAAAAAAGAACCTTTACAAGAACCAGAATTCAGGTGAGCACTCACGGTATCAGTTTTTAATTTCATATTGTTGAAAGAGGCACTGAAGTGGGTAGGAAAGACAGTCTTGAATCACTGCCACCACCTCTCCCCATTCTCTGGCAGCAGCCACATGGTGCAGAGAATCTGTGCGTTGGGAGGGGAGAGTGCAGCAACTAGGAGACTGCCTGGAACCCAGTGCTGCCCTGTCACAGCAGAGATGCCCACCCATGGAGGGAGCATTCAGACCAGTCCTAGCCAGAGGAGAATCACCCATCCCAACTGTCAGCGCTTGAGTTCTGGCAAGACTTACCACCATGGGCTGAAGTGCTTTGGGCTGTAAATAAACTTAAAAGGCAGTCTCAGTGGCAAGGCCTAGTACTGAGCTGGGCTCAGAGCTGGGGATTTTAAGGGCATGTGGCTTACTGAGATACCAGCTAGGGCAGCTGAGGGAGAGCTTGCATCACACTTCCCCAAACCCAGGCAGTATAGAGTATGGCTCCAAAAGGGCCACTTGAGGAAAAGAGAGGGAAAAGTAAGGAGGGCTTTGTCTTGTTTCTTGGATACTATCTCAGCCACAGTGGGATAGGGCACACATCAGAGTTGTGAGGCCCCTATTCCATGTCCTAGCTCACCAACCACATTTCTAGACATACCTTGAGGCAGAAGGGAACCTGCTACTGTCAAGGACCCAGTCTTTGCAGGACCTGTCACCTGCTGACTAAAGAACCCTTGGGACTTGAATAACCAGCAGTGATACCCAGATAGTATGCTGAGGCCTTTGGGTGAGACTTTGAGATGTGACAGCTTCAGGTGAGACTCAGCACATTTCCAGCTATTGTGGCTATGATGAGAGACTCCTTCTGCTTAACAAAAGCAGATGGAAAAGCAAAGAAGACTTTGTCTTGCATCATAGGTACCAGCTCAGCCACAGTGTAG